TAGTATAAGTTATAAATAAATAAATTTTTCTTAAAAAAAAAGGCTGCTAAGTTGTAATAAATTGATTTAGCTACAATTTGGTGAGTTTTTTTTTTGTTATATAATTTTATATCATGAGCTATTAGTGTTTAAAAATTAGTAAATTTATTTTAGTCTTTAGGTGTCACATACTAAGTTCCGGGATCAAAGATCTAGAATATAAAAGTTTAAGTGTTAGTGAATGCAAAACTATATAAAAGACATTAAGAAAAGACCTTTGAAAGGGCAAACTTGGGAGACGTCTTAATACTTATCTTTAATAAAAATACTATACTTGGCAACGACGACAGGACTGAGTTTTCTAAGAGATAGTTAAGCATCATTATATAAGTTATCCATGATTACATATTTTCCCAGAACCTGATATCGATAGTGAAATAAATGCCCAAACCCGATTAGAACTTTCTTTTATCTCATTGAAAAATTCAGAGAATATATCAATATTGATCGACCAGAAAATGTCTACTAGTTGAGACTTCTACTGCCACTGCTGCAAGAAGACAAAGTTATTCGCAGTATCCGGACTCTAGACCCGGATCACGAAAAGGAAAAAAGAATAAAAACGAAACCGACCTTATTAGCCTAGAGGCACCCAGAACATTGCCAGAAGAACAAGAAAACTACCAGATTTAGTACATTTATTCTTCACCAACCCCTTACCAAGTTGAACTGGACAATGATGGTGACTTTGAGAAACAAATTCTAGTACACAACCCTGAGGACTCAGTCTCACTTTTACCTTTACACAATGTAGTGGTCGATAATCTTTATGGAAGTAATGACTATCAAACGGAATACGAAGACCAATATCTACACTACAAAGCAGAAAGAACCTATGCTCATGGCTATGAAAGGCCCCAAATCAATAATGAATGCATTGTGAATCTATTGGAACCAGAGACCCAACCAGAAAACAATCATTTTCTGCAGACACCCTATGTACACTTCGAAGTTAATAGTCTGCCACTCCAAAGACTTCCACCCACTCCTCTATGAACCCCACCACCGCAACGACAACCATTAGACAGACGCCAACCACCCTCATGGCCCAATTGACCAATAAACCTGCCCTCACGGCAAAATCCACCCTGTTCAACCCCAGCCTCAACCAGCTCACAGAGCTGCTGCAGCAAACCCAATGGACCAATTGTTGCAAAGTATGAATAACCTTATACTTGCAATGGGTACCAATGCTAACCAACCCCAGGAAGCTAAGGTGGTCAAGTTTCTCACCTTTAGTGGTGGTGATCAAGACCCTCCTGTATGGTTGGACGAGTTTGATAAGACATGTATAGCCAACCACATAACAGAACAACGAAGATTCGATATTTTGCTCTCTCATCTGAAAGTGATAGCATATACCTGGTGGAGGGGCAAGGCATATAATGTTTTGGCCTGGGATGACCGCACTCACCCACAGCATTCGTTTATTCACTTGTTTCAGCAACAATTTTGTACTATGCATTAGCAGAACTGATGGGTTGCCGAACTCAGAGGCTGCCAACAAGGATTAGAAGAAACAGTAGATGACTATTATGATAAATTAGAAAGACTTTACCGGAAAGCAGATCCGATAAGAAGGTACCTACAAATTGACCAAATTCGCCAGTTTACAGATGGATTGAGACAAAAGTTAAGAGAACCAGTAGAGATGAAATGTCTAACCACCTTACAACAGGCGTTAAAGAAAGTAAAAGCTGCTAAAGCCACATATTCTAAAGAAGGACCCTTAAGCTCCTATTCCTTGAAAAAGAGTTACTTGAGTCGTGAAGGTCCTGATAATGAAGAAATTGGGGAGTTAAAGAAAGCTATATCGGAAATAGCACAAAACATGAAAACTCTAATACAAAAACAAAACAAAGGTAAGAAAGTAGCCCCTAGTGCATCACCCAGTTTGTCTCAGATGACTTCCACTCAGTTACGCCCTGTTCAGTCACGTTCTGCTCCATTCGGTATCCTCTGCTATCAATGTGGAGGAAGAGGACACATATCTAGAAAATGTCCTAGTAGGAGTCTCTACAATAACAACAATGGTGGAGCAAGGCAAAATTACTTTACAAATAGACAATACAATAACTACAACAAATAACCCGCAGCCAAACCAATCTGGTAATAACCGGCCCAACAACAACACTAATAATAAAAGTCAGACCTATTTTGTCTTATCGGCAGAAGAACTCACAGGAGCCATTGGAGCTAACATTGGCCACTTCTCATGAGAGTGAGAATACCGAAAACAAAAATATGACAGACCCCTCAGTTAGTAGTTTTAGTTTATTGGACATGCTATTACCTAATGATTTGCCGACACCCCTAGCCTTAAAAAGTACTATAGAAGTGCCAGACACTTTTTCCCAGCCTATAGAAGTAACTTATTGTAAGGCTGCCGTAGAACGGCATCCCATCTACCTAATATTAGATACAGGGTCAAGTAGAAGTTTGGTTTCGCATAAGTTTTTAAAAAAAATCGGAAGAGATATTAATAAACCATCAACTAGAAATTTAGTTGATATGCATGGGCAAAGAAAGATTCTACTAGGCATTGTAAAAAACCTACCTATTGAAGTAAATAAAGTTGAAATACCTATCAATATGGAGGTAACGGAAGCATGAGATTATGCTGTGATTGTTGGGACTAACTGGCTAGCTAAAGTAAAAGGAAAAATAGATTTGGCACATGGGAATTTAGAATATAAGTAAAAAGACGAGAAAAATAAAATACCAATTATATGTTGGAAGAAAATGGCTTATACTTTAGGCAAACCAGTACTTCTGGATAATGAGAGTAAAGAGGAGGAAGTCGTTAGCGATAGGAATGCAAATGAATATAAACCAAATAAGGTGGAGGAAGAAAGAAGTTATATTATCCAAGGAGATAAAGATGAATTACCTATTATAGAAATGAAAAAGAACTATGTCAGTATAGAGGGAAAAAATATACTGATAGAACAGTATCAGCAGATAAGAAAAAAAAATAAGGAAAGTGTTAGCTTAAAAAACTTGATACATAGATGGAAAGGTCCAGATACTATGTTGGTGCGAAAAACGATTGAATTATGTGGAAGATAGTTGTCCAGAATGTCGAGAACTGTCCGAAGGGATAGAGACGTTAGAATGCCTAGTTGATAATTTAAATCAGGAGTTAGGGATAATAGAAGGTTGAAAAGAATCTAATGAATTAGAAAAAGAGCAGCAAGATCAGGTAGAAAAATTACTGGAAACAAATAAAGACCTGTTTGCAGTAGAGTTAATGGAGTTGGGAAGAACGAAAGCAGAAATACATCAGATTATACTGAAAGAAGGGGCAGAACCCATAAAACAAAGACCCTATCGAGTCTTACATACAGAGAATAAATTTATTACTCAAGAGATTGATCAAATGTTGAAACACGGAATTGTCCAAGAATCAACAAGCCCATAGAGCTCCTCTGTAGTACTAGTAAAAAAGAAGAATGGTAAAACTCGATTTTGTGTTGATTATCGAAAAATAAATGCCTTAACAATAAAAGACTCTTATCTGTTGCCCCTCATTGATGACATTCTTAGTTCACTACACCAGTCTAAGTGTTCTCAACCTTGGACTTAGCAAGCGGCTACTGGCAAATAGAAATGAGCCCCCAGGACCGAGAAAAGACTGCTTTTGTCACCAAAGATAGACTATACGAATTTCTAGTTATGCCGTTCGGGCTAACTAACGCCTCTGCGACTTTTCAGAGGCTGATGAACAGAATTCTACATCCTGTTAATGGAAAATTCGTGTTAGTTTATCTTGACGATATAAATATCTATTCAAAAATATTTAATGAACATTTAAATCACCTTTAACAAGTTTTTGACAAATGTCATATTTTCAAAAGGCAATTATCATTCCTTGGACACCTTATAAGCGGGAAAGGAATTGCTTCTGACTCTGGTAAGATTGAGAAAGTTCAAAATTTTCTGGTACCAACCACTCTTACTGAATTACAAAGTTTTATTGGGTTGGCATCGTACTATCGTAAGTTTGTAGAAAACTTTGTGGGAATAATACAACCCCTTAATACCTTGTTGAAAAAGAATGTTCAACTAGAATAGAATGATAAGTGCCAGGAAGCCTTTGAGAGATTAAAGCAAAGATTGGTGACCACACCTATCTTGCGCTACCCTGATTTCGAGAAACTTTTTATTCTATATACCGACGCCTCATAGATCAGCCTAGGCGCTATCCTAGCACAGAAAGATAATAGAGAGAAAGAATATATAGTGGCTTATGCTAGCTAAGGTCTAAGTAACCCTGAAAGAAACTATTTAGTGACCGAAATTAAATGCTTGGCTGCCATATGGGCCATGCAATATTTTCATCCATATATATATAGCAAAGAATTAGAATTAGTAACAGACCACAAAGCTTTTAAATGGCTATTAAATAACCTACAACCCACCAGTAGACTCGCAAGATGGATTATGATTGCTGCCGAGTACCCATGTACTATCCGCTATAGGAGGGGTGCAGCACACAATAACGTGGACGCTTTGTCTCGAATCCCTCACAAACCACCGTGAGGAAAAGAACTCTAAGAAAATAAAATGTGTGTTAACTAAAGCACTAACCAAGTACATATAGTTTAAAAAAAAAAAAAAAAAGTTAAGGATATATCTATCAAAAGAAAAAAATCTGGACCCAATCCAGCCCAAGTTACCGGTGCCCTGGCTTTTAAGATAATATATACGAAGTTAAAATATAGAAATAAACGAATATGAACTTACAACAATATCAACAGCTCAAGACCTATTTAGAAACTGCCAAAACACCGAACAATTTGGATCAAACATAACAGCAAAGATTCAGAAAGCGGGCCGCCCATTATGTTGTCCAGAATGATCTATTATTTTGAAAAAATAAGAATGTAAATAGATCCTTGCTAAGAGTCGTTAAAGCAAATAAACTAGAACAAGCGTTATATGGGCTCCATTCAGATATAATGGCTGGATACTTTGGAATAGAATCTACTTACAATAAAGCCAGAAATAAGTACTTTTGGCCCCAAATATACAAAACTATCAAAGAGTACATACAAATGTGTGATGTCTGTCAACGGCAAGGCACCCCAAAGCCATATTAAGAGTTACATCCCCTTCCAGTAGGAGCCCCATTCGACCAAGTAGGCATCGATATAGTAGGCCCCTTCAAAGATATTACCGAAACAGGAAACTGCTATATCGTTGTAGCCATGGAATACCTAACAAAGTGGCCTGAAGCACGTCTCATACCTAATATGATGGTACCTACAATCGCCCGGTTTATTTATGAAGACATTATATATCATCACGGTTGCCCGCAGACTCTTCTTTCTGACCAAGGATGCTCCTTTTATAACAAAATTATAGATGCATTATACAAAATTATGACTACCCACCATCGTTTAGCAGCCGCCTACCACTCTCAGATAAATGGTCTCACAGAGAGATTCAATAAAACTCTCTGTTCTACTTTAGCAAAACTAGTTAGTGATTATAAAACCACTTGGGATACCCTACTACTGGCAGCTCTATTCGCTTATCGTATCTTTCTGAACTATACTACCAAATATGACCTATTTTACCTTATGCATGGATACACTGCTACCCTTCCACTGGACCTACAGTTACAACCAGAAGAAGATATTTCAGAACTGCCCTTAGAGCAATCATTGGAATTACATATCAATACAATTGCACCAACAGAGAATTCAAGCCCAAAGTAATATCCAAAGAGCCCAACAGAAGCAAAAGGAATACCACGATCACAACCTAAAAATTGTAAAATTTAAAATTAGTGATCAAGTGTTACTGTACGAGTCAGCCAAAGACAAGGTGTACAGTGACAAATTACAGGAAAAATAGAAAGGCCCTTACTTCATCCACGACCATGGAGCTCTGGGAATATACAAGTTACGAACGGAAGATGGTAAGATCCTGAAGAACCTGGTGAACACGAATCGATTAAAACTATACTACAAGAGACCAGCCTGGGAACCGATAGTGTATTTATAGGCTAATAGAGTGTAACATTAAACAACCAAGTGCTTCAGAAAACCTCGGTTATTTAAGGAGGGGGAGGTGTAAGATAAATACTAGTAACATATTGCGCATAGTACTTCCATGTGATATAACTATCATGTGATATAGACAAACTTAGACTTTCACTAGTCTTATATTTTTTTTTTATTATTTATTTTATTTATTATATCATTCTACTATGCTATTTTATGTTATTTATTTCACTTTATTTATTTGGATTAGATGTACTTCTTGTATCGTAATGCTACCCATAATTTATTTACTTCGCCCCTACATAAGCCTGTTATGCATTCATCACGCATATGATCATTATGCATACGATCGTTATGCATAAATTGTTATACATATGGTTGTTATGCATAACTCATAATAGATAGTTCTAGGATCAAAAATCTAGAATATAAAAGTTTAAGTGTTAGTGAATGCGAAACTATATACTGTAAAAACATTAAGAAAAGACCTTTAAAAGGGCAGACTTGGGGGACGCCTCAATACTTATCTTTAATAAAAATACCGAATTCTCTTAAAAACCCAAAACACCTAAGCCTTATAATTGCATATAATGACCACAATATTGCAAATAATAATAATAACGATAATAATAATAATAATAAAAGTAATAACAACAACAATAATAATAATGATATTAATAATAATATCAATAATAATAATAATAATAATAATAATAATAATAATAAAGAAATTATCAACTCTCCCCGATGATCACTTGGACCATCCTCCTCACAAAAAGGAAAAGTAGAAAAAGTTTATTGGAGAGTTGTGTAGCTACAGGACAGTTTGCAGTGAAGTCATAGTGGACTCCTTGCTACATTCAGCATACAAGCCAGAAGCTGAAAACCGGATTTGTAAAGGGTGAAGCGATATATTTTGCATGCAGGTAGCGCCCTGCACGAAGTAAAGTATAATTCTGATGGTATTTTCATTACCGTCGACGAAGTTTTGTAGACTATAGTTTGAAAGGGGTCTTGGTTGTTTTTAGAGAGATTAACGACTGCTTCGGAACTCCCCTCTATATCTAACATGCAAGCCAGAAGCAAAGACGCAAAGGAGGAAAATGCAGGCGGCACTCGCTGTTGCGTATAAATTTTGGTGGAAGAAATTCCATTAGCGAAGCCTTTAGGACTCCTTGAAAACCCAGGGGTACAGTAAACTTTGAAACTTTTTGATTTCAAGCCACACTCTTTTATCCTATACAAG